TGCACTACCTTTCCTCTGTTTAATAGGACTTTGTAAGTTTGATGATAAATTTCTTTTAGGACAGGTATGAATTTTAGGAATTTTCTTTTCTTCTGAGAAAATGGTTTGATTTTTTTTTCCTATCCTGAAATGATAAGGTTAATTGGGTTTTGTATATAGTAAGGGTGAGGGAGCTTCAAATAGAATCACAGTGCAAATATTTTTTGCATAGTGCTTTGCTTATAATTTATAAATAATGCACAAACCAGAGAAGCAAACAGAATTTTAKCAGTGCTCCAAGCATTCTGGCTGGTGTAAATTATAGGGAAATGGGTCCTCAACATAGTCGATGAACGTTACGACACAAGGACAGGAAGGTTGATTTAGATATCCCAAAAGAGCCCATGCAAGAGCCTGTACTTTCACTACAACTAAAGTATAAGTAATTAAACTCATATATTTAAGTATTTCTGGCCTGGGTTCTCATTCAATAGATGTAACTCCGTCTTCTGGATTTTAAGTACAGTATTTCAGTGAGAGTCTATGGCATTTGTAATGAGGAATGGTGTTTTCATTAGAAACCAGGTGCTGTCTAGTTTTGTATAAATTTTATTCAGAGGTTTACTTTAGCAAAGATAGAATATATGTTTGGAAGGATTATTTTGGCACCTAGGTGTTTTATTTGAAGGACATTATGTTCTAGAACTTACTGASAAACTTCAAAGATRCAAACACAGCTGAGATTTCTGTCAYAGGAGATGCATTTTGCTTCATAATACTTTATTTGTTCTAAGTGTGATTTATGACAATGTTTGTATGGTTGGAGCACCATTTCTGACTCAGGAGTTACAAAGCTACAAATTGTTGGTCACTGAAGGGTGTGTTGGCAGGGAAGTATGCCTAATGCTTACCTTATTCTCTTTTATTTTTTCCTAGGCTTTAGGTATAATATATGTATGAGAGACTGAATGTTAAGCAAGATGGAACTGGTCTGGCCCAGTATGGTTAATGCTCTGAATACAGAAGTCTAAAGGGAGAGGTCTAGTGACCCCATGCTCTGTGCCTTGCAAAGTGGCTGAAAAATGGGATGTATTGGTTTTGTCTCTCTTGCTTTTGTTGTAGGAATTAAATAAATTGTTGAAGTAATTTAAACAGGATTCTTATATTGTGCTGGATCATTGTTGTTTTTGACCAAAGAACTCAGAGATCCAAGTATTGTTTTCCTCTGAAATGATTGCACTTACCGCTTTGTGTGTCTATCTTTATGGAATTACTGGTAAGAAAATAATTAAATAAATCCTAAAAAAATAAAGGTGAGACATGAAGACGTGTAATGAAAAAAAAGCCGCAAGGAAAAAAGCCAGTTAAAAAAAAATTAAAACTACTATTTTGCTAACTACTGTTAATGGTAATTAGGATTAATAATAACWATTAATTACTACAAATTAGCCTGACGCAACATAAGATTGTACAGTCTTGCACAGGTTAAAATGACAATGTCCATTTATAGGCCTTGCTTGTGCTCAGAAAAAAATGCCTTGAATTTGTGTGGTGCAGCTTCCTGGAAGAGAGCTGTGATGTTATTCTTCTTCCTTTTGTTTGGCATAGTATTAATAAGTTTTGAAGCATGCTGACTTCATGAAGGAGCCAATGCTGTSTTTTAAAGTTGTTTTTGTAATGTTTGAACTGTTACCTGATCCTGACTTAGCATTCACTATGTTGACTAAGATTTTGAAGCMGTGATGAGGTGGAGGGATAGGGTCTGAGCTAAACATTAATATTGTTATGGTAGAATTATTTTCAATCAGGGATGAAGATTGAGAAGGTGAAGAACCTTTCTTCTTTAAGTTATCTTCTATGTGCCATGCTAACCTGTCTTAAGATTAAACACAAATATGTTTTTCCTTCCCTGTAAGAGTTTGTTTCAGTACTAAGATAGCCTGCCCGTGCCATGTCAACTGTACCTGAAGGCTAGGAGGGTGCCAGCTGTTAGGCAGGGTAGGCAACTACTGAATGCACATAATTTTTTTTTCCGCCTGTGAATGTGTGCCTCATGTTAGAAGAGAGAGTATTCATGAATTTTAAGTAATAATACTGTAAGCAATTTAACTAAAGTAATTTAAGTAATAATCTTGTCTACAAAACATTGATGCAATGTAGGGACTCTATCAAAGCATCATTGTTGCTCCTGTGCCCAGAGGCAAAGGTGAAAGGCAGTAGTCATTTGCTAATGCTCTGACATAGTGAGACAGTGGCCTTTTCTGTGGACAGTCAGCCCAGACAGTGTGCTGCTAACATTCTYATTATGCTCTTAACTTCTAACTGCCCTTGTTTGAGGCAGAATTTAAGTAAAGTCTAGAGGCATTTTTTTTCCTCGTGATTTACCATTAATTTTATTATCTAATGGAATTATTGGGTGATTGTTACTGCAGAAGATGGAAAGTATATAGTGAAACTTGATTTCAGGCTGAAATTTGCAAGAAACTATCTAGTGTTGGTGGAAGAAATACCCTGACTAACAAGGGGGAAGGCGTTGCAAATAAATGGCAGTTTTTATATAGGACTAASTTCAACTGCCAAGAAGGAATGTGGCCATGGCAGAAATTTTGTAACTCTACTCATGGATAAATTTGCAAAATGTTCTCATTGAKAATTAAAATAAAGGCTGTAATTGGCATAGTTAATATGGATCAGGGATTTCATCAATCACTATCTTACTTACAGCTTTAACCAAAGTCCTTAAATWAGCATAAAGCATAGTTTGCTGTTATATTAAAACATTAAACATGAATCAGTTTAGTTCTTGATTTGTAGAAGACATAACCARTTGCATTTCTCTTTGTAGACATTGTGAGGAAAGAAGGATCAATTGTTGTCAAAAATACAGACAATGGTCTGTTATGCAGAACAATGGAAAAGACCAAGGTTTCAGTTCCATTGGCTTGCTCATCTCTCTGCTGAAGGATGTGCTAAACTGAAGTGCAGCATTGACATCAGTGAGCAGTCTCTGAGCACAGAGCCTGGCGGGAACTTAAGGCTTTGGAGAGCACTGTGCAGGCACACTTTGACTGGAGCTGGTCCAGCTCCAGTAGAGCTGGCAAYTCTGTAGTCCTGGAAGTAAACTGCCTCCATGTGGTCTGTTTTGTGTGTCTCTGGACTGTGCTTATTGGCTGTTTTCAGTTTGGCAAATGCAGCGGAGGCAACTCAGGCTCTGTGTTTCAAAAAGCAATTGTGGTGCCACAGAGTTGAGGCTGGCTTTGCTGACACAACAGCTGCTGTGCACATAGTCTGTGATTTCAGAAGACTGCCTTGGCCTGTGGTGGCTCTATGCAAGGCATGAAGTTCAAGTGTCTTACCTGAAAATCACAAATTCCAATGATTATTAGTCATATGCATGATTTGGAYCAAAAGTGAACAGAAAAGAAAATAAAGTGGTTGGTTGATCAGATGGTATATCTTAGTGCTAGATGTTAACATGGTGTCTACCCATAATTTTTGATATTTCTGTTGATTATGACTGCTTTTTCTAATCAAACAAGTTTTCTGATGTGGTTTAGAGAGAAGAGTCCTCTTTTACTTTATTTGAGAGAACATACAGAATTGTAACTAACTTCCGTTTAGGATTTCCCTACATTGTTTTGCTCTTTTCCTTACATCAGGCAGTAGAGCTGATGTGTTATCATTTCTGTTGTATATATGTCAGTGTTAAATTTTTCCTCAGAAATTCTTTAGGAGCACATAACCACAGAGTTTTATTTTTCTGAATTATAAATCTAATTAACTGGAATCTACATCAATTTGTAAGRCGTAGAAACTAATTCATAAGAAAAGCCATCAATTTTGATATGAATAATTCCTTGTAATTTTTGTTTAGATCYTTTGCTTTGTCTTTCTCTTTGCAATTTGCCAGTGCTAATCTATATAATGAGTCTTTCTTGGCACATAAGTTTTTATAGGAAATCTTTGGTTTGGAAATAATAAAACTAAGTGGTCTGAGACATTCCCTGAAGGTACTCATTGCTGAGGCGTATTCTGTGTTTTGTAGATTAGGATGTGAAYATTAGATGAAGGAGAGATGGGAAACAAAGTGTGTGTGTTTTTCTGTGCCCATTCTCCTGTTGGGTTACTAACAGAAAATACTTGTGCATCCCCTTATGCTCTTCAGTCCTGATCTGATCTATCAGTACTTAGATCATCTGTTGAGCTGCAGTGTAAGGCTCAGTTTCCTTTAATGCTTTTATGTGTTGTTATCCTTAGTGTAAATAAGCTTTTCTGGGGGAGAAATAGGGAGGAAGTTTTTATTTTACTTCTGACATTGAATCTATTTCTTCTCCACCTCCTCTATTTCATCAGTCTTCAGCAGGGACTCTTGTCCTATTCAAAAAATTTAGAAGGAAGAGTCCCTATGGTTTTTTTGAGATTTGYTTTAGTTTAGCAGTCTTTATAGCTGAAAAGGATCAGTGAAATATATCATCCAAAGAAGAAATAAGAATGGGAAGATAAAAGTTTAGTGATTATGATGACTTTTTAAATCCTTCTTGTTGAGATGTAATACATAGAAAGGAAATGCAAGACACAGCAGTTTAGTGTCTGAGAAGGTGATAAATTTGGTTGTATCTGACTCTRCAGACAGTGAGCTAATGCTTTGGAGGATCATATCTTATTAAACTTTATAGTTTCAAATGGAAAAAATAATCTGTTGGTAGCTATACTACTTGTGTCATGTTCTGGTTGCATCTTTACTACGTCRGAAAACAACCCCAAAATATGTTGTTTTTCCACATAATAAAGATGAACCCAGAAAATGACACAGGCTCATTAATTAAAATTCATGGTCACAAGTCAACATTAGAAAATTAAAAATAATTAGATGTGACATTGTTAAWAAATGAATTTTATTAAATATAGGGATTTGTCATACATTTAGAAATACACAAAGAGGCAATATTTCAACATCTTTGTTGACAATTTTTAATTTTTAAAAAATAATTATTTTTATTTACTTATACTTTATTTATCAGAGAAAGCAACCAGTGAGATGAACACTGCAGAGGACTGGGGCCTCATCTTAGACATCTGCGATAAAGTTGGACAGTCACGCACAGGGTAAGTKACTTTAGGAATTTCCTTCCTAAACTTTTAAAATTCTGTTATTTCAGTCTCATACCCAGGTGAGAGGAATRAAATTTTTGTTGTCTTTTATAGAAATCTGCAACAGTTGAATTTAACTTAAATTGATTACAAGTAAAAGGAAAGCATATGAGATTTCTGCTGAAATATTTTGTAATCCTTCCTTTGGAGGTACAGGCTGAAGTGTTAAAATTAGGACTTGTCTACAGCAGCTTTTTGCCAGTGTAACAGAATAAATAAATCAATCAATRTGTTTTAGCAGTATCACTGTAAACCCAGGAGGTTTCATGAGGCATTTTCTTTCAGAATCATAATCTAAATTGAAAGTGACCTCTGGAGGTCATCTAGTCCAACCTCCCAGCTTCAAACAGGTCTAATTAGATCAGGTTGCTCAGGACCGTGTCGAGTCTTGAATGCCTCCAAGGTCAAAGGTTCCACAACTTCTGGGGGCAACATGTTTCAGTATTTAACTACTTCTACTTACTAAGTAAGTAAATAAAAAATTAATCCTGCAATCTGATTACAATTTTCCTTGTTCTAAATTGTCTGTTGCATCTTGTCCTGTGACTGTGCAGCTCTAAGAGTCTGGCTGCATCTTCTATATATTCTCTGATTAATTGGCTGTAAAAAGCACTAAGGCCCACTTTTTGTGTGCTCTTCTCAAAGCTGAAAGTTTTTTCTTCTCTACAATYTTTCCTTGTATGTGACCTTCCCTGACCATCCTGGCAGCCATCCATTGGACTTRTGGCAGTGTGTAAATGGCCTTCTTGCCCTGGGGAGCCCCAAACTGGACCGAGTGCTCCAGATGCAATCTTACAAGTGCATAATGGAGGAAAGGGTCTCCTTGCAGTCCTTGTTGGTTGTGCTGACCTCTTGTTTGAGCCAGGATGTGGTTGGTTGCCTTTACTGCCAGGMTGCACTGCTGACACCTCTCACCCAATAGGACCTGTGGATCCTTTCCTGTTTTTCATGTGGTCAGCTCCTGGCCTCATTCAAAAGGCAATACCTTTACCCTTGTTCTTGTTGAACTTGATGAAGTTATAGTCTGCCCATTTCTCCAGCCTGTCCARGTTCCTCTGAATATTAGACATACCCTCCAGTATATTGGTTGGTCTCCTTCARCTTGCTCTGGTCTGTAAGTTACTGGGAGTAGTGTTTGTCTCACTAGGAATCTCTGAAGGATCCCGCAAGATACTGCCTGTTAGCTGGAATTTTCACAACAGGTAACAACTCTTTGAGCTTAGGAAGCCAGTTATCATCCTTTTATCCAGCCTATGTTTCAGCAGTTGTGTGAAAAGTAGACTATAAGGGTTTCAACTGTGTCAAAACTTCGCTAAAACCAAGGTATAAAGCATCTGCTGCCCTCCATGGTTGTCACCATCAGACAACCAGTGTCTTTGTCACAAAAAACAATAAGGCTTTGTGTTTCTTCCCCTTGTTTTCAGAAGCTATTATCTGTCATCAGGATTTTGATAAATGTACATTTTGAGGCTGTGATACTAAATTAAGCACATCTTAATATGGRCTGCTAATGTTCCCATTATTACTGTTTACTGAGCTCTTTCATAGAATTTATGCATGAACTTACTTTTTATACAAGAAAAGATAAAGTGTAATTTGAGCTAGCAACTAAAAAATACATTTTAAAGACTTAATTTCARTGTATTTATCGTACTTTCAGTCAGTGTAGTGTTGGGCTTTGGAAGTGTTTTAAATACACTTGCTCAAGGCATTCCCTGTAATAATTCAGGTAAAGAACAGACTCAAGGAGAGAGTTCTGCTACTGATGCTGTGAGAGGCTTCTCTGAGAATGACTTGGATTGCCTTATGAAACTTCCAGAAACAGTATGAGATGCCAGATAGCRAAGTCCCACCTGGGACTTTTATTCCAAAGGACAGGTTTGCAAATAAGATTATTCCTTGGGATTAGAGTCAATCTCTGAAGGAGTACTTAAAAATAGCATGGCACATTGAGACTTCTGTGCTGTTGTGTATAACTGCAGTTAACAGCTGGCAAGTTCTTAATAATGTTTTGTATTAATGTAAAACTGCATTTCTGTTCTTTGAGCATGTTGATGCTGAGCCTGTAACTGTATTATTGAATGTGTCAGTATTCTGTTTAATCACTGGAAGTTATTCCACTGATGAAATTTAGTCTC